TGTGGTCTGGATGTTGTTCTGTGTCCTCTGGTCTCTATTTTAGGAAGAGTTGTCTTTGTTACATTTTCATAGATAAATGTGGTTTTGGGAGGCGATTTCTGCTGCTCTACTCACACCGCCATCTTGGCTCCTGAGGCCGCCAAGTGTCTTTTATACTGCCTGGCCAATGGTATTTATTCATTCATTCATTCCAAAAATATTTACTTCATGCCTAGTAAATGGCAGATACTACTTTAGACTGGAGATACACAGTAAGCATATGGCAGACAAGGTCCCAAATCTCATCGATTTTAGATTCTTAAGGCAGTCCAGTTCAATAGAAATTCCTGTCTTGGAATTTGTGGTAGCCGTTAGCCACATATGACTTGAGCACTTGAAATGTGGCTGGTGTGAATGACAAAATGAAGTTTAAATTTTATTTAATTGTAGTTAATTTAAATTACCACATGTTTCCCGAGACTGCCATATTGGACAATGCTGTTCTAGAGGATTAAAGGGGTTGGAGAAAGAGTTAAGTGGATAAATAATTGAACAAAATAATTTCACCAAGTGATAACTGAAAATACATGAAATAGGGTGATGAACTATTAAGTGGGGAAGTACTTCATGTTGGGTCAATCTAGTTGAGTTGGAATCAATAATGTAAAATAAATGAATTTGAAGACTTTTTTAAAACTTTCTAGTCAATACTTGTTTGGGAGCCCTTGTTTGGAGATTTAGTAAATTCTGGTTTTGGAAAACAAACACCAAAATAAAGCCTAACATTTCTATCGATATTTTATTAACGCCAAACATTTTTCTTTCCTAGACTTGAATTGTCATCTCCAGTTCCTGTTGGTGATACCGCAACATTGGGAGGTATTTTTCTGTGCCTTTTTTCAGTTTTATTTTAAAATTATTTATGATTTAAGACATTCTCGAAAGCAAGCACATTTTTCAGTTCACATTTAAAAAATATGGACTCTCTCTTCTCCTTAAATATTGTTCAAAAGTCTCAAGAAAGAGTAATTATTTTACAGTATCATGTTGTACATACTTAAAAATCTTTATTAAGTATAATACAAATCAGAAAACTGCTTAAACCAAACATACAATCTAAGGAATTATTTAAAGGCAAACACTCCTAACCAGTTTATGTTAACAGGTGGAATCTTTCTAGCTCCACCATTTGTCACTTGTCTTGTAGTTTCCCAGAGTAAGGATTTTTCTGGTTGTATTCTGCAGTATACTTTAACATGTTCCTTTGATTTCTATATTTCCTATAAATTGGCAGTTGCTTTCTTTCTTTTTAATTTTTTTTAAAAAAGTTTTTCTTTACTGGAAATTTCAAACATATACAGAGAATGGTCATAATAGCACAGTAAGTGAGGTCTGTGCTATGATCAATTTTGAATCTTCACCTACTTCTCCTCTCTGGTAGTGTTACTTCTTTCAATATCTGTCCATTTATTAGATTGCTCCTTAAGGATAGGAACTTTGTATCCCTATTGTCTTGCATATAGCCTGACATATAGTGCTCAATAAATGCTTGTTGAATGACTGAATGAGTAATAATTATGTCTTGCTCTGGGAAGATGTTATGCAAATGTGTCTTGAGATTAGAATGCACAGAATATCCAGGATGAAAAAGCAGATGACTTTGAAGTCAGTTCCTTATTTCCTGATATGAATTCTGACCTATTCAGGGATTGAATTCATATACATGTTTTTGTTTCTCTACTTAGGTACTGTTCTCAGATTTCTACATCCAGAGGTGACCTCCTATGAAAGTGCTCCAGAGAGCAGCTTGGAGAGGCCAGAGCAGAATGTGAGTGATGCTCTATTTTGTTATTAGTTTGTAACTTGGAGAACAGGAGTTAAAAGATATTTATATTCCATTGCCAAACTACACAAGACTTCATGTGGTTCCCTTTATGAAATGCAGATTCTAAAACCAATACATTAAAAAGAACCTGAGATTCCTTAGAGACCTGAGTAAATTTACTTTTGGCTAGAGAGGGCTTCAAATTGTACATTAAATGACTCAAGGCTTAGGGAACTGCCATCATGTTAAGCCCAGTATCTCTTATGGGCTATGTGACATAATTTATATGGGGATTTTGCCTATGTTATTTTATCCCTTAATAGATCAGGACTTAGCCTTATTTTTACAGAGGGAAATTTTAAGTAGTTTAAAAATCAAGAAGTACCATGCTTTTTAAATGCACCACTGGTAATAGTAACCTGTCCACTAAACAACAACATTAAGGTGAATCTCTGTAACATTCAGATTTTTTTAAAAAGTACACATTGCCCAAGAAGACAGAAACATTTTGTTAGAAATTTTGTTAAATATGCATTTTTAAAATTCAGGGGTTCATAAATCCTAGATTACTTAATATAGAGCCAACTCTTACTGATCATATTTACTATAAAGGTTCAGTTGACTTTCCTTGCACCTTTTCCAAACATGGACAATTTAACATTTATGAAATCAGGTTGTCACCCCACTCTCCCCCACTACCTTCCCTTTTACCTGTCTGTTTATTACTCCTCAAAGTAAAACTTTAAGGAGAATGGGTATTATGTCTTCTCTAAATGTCTGATAAAATTCTGCTGTGAAGCCATCTTCTCTGGGGGTTTTCTGCTTGGATAGGTTTTTGATTACTGATTCAATTTCATTGCTGGTAATTGATCTGTTCATAACAAGGCTGGTGATAGCTTGGGATCCCTGAGCAGATGCCCAAATCAGTACTCTTATACCATTAGTTGTCCACAGAGTAGTTGGTGCTGGAAGATGGGCAATATTTGTGAATGAATGAATGAATGAATGAATGAATAAAAAGTGATCCTGTAGTTCTGATCTTGAGGTGGAATAGTTATGGTTTAGGTCTGGAGACATTGAATAAGGCAGAATTCACTATATTAGAAATGAACCAATTGGAATATTAATATCCCAAGCACAGTATATGATCTGAAGCCAATTTATAGAACAAGTAGGAAAACAAAGCAGTATAGAGATATAGAGAATTAGCTTGCCTGTACCTATAGTTCAAAATGAAGCCCAATGTAGTTTTATAGTTCTACAATTCAGTTTTTTTCTAATAAGTTATTCCATCTCCTGTTTTAGAAATTATATACTTTATGTTTTGTTAGTAGTTATCCTTTAAGTTACAGTGTATAATCTAGTAAAACTTAAGGTTTTCAAAATATTGATCCTTATCCTGAGCAATGAAGGAATTAGAACATTGTAGTTCCAATAATCACACTATTGATTTATATTCTATTTTTCAGTATTCTTTCTTTCTCTCATCTAGTGCTCTATTCTTTATATTAGATTGTATATTATTTTTTATATATATAGTTAGTTTGTTTTATATTTACCCAGATCTTTACCAATTTATTTCCTTAAGATTCATTTTCACATTTTAGATCTCTTTTTTGGGATCATTTTACTTCTGAATTATGTGCTTCCAATATTACTTTAGTGAGACTCTCACCAATTCTGTTTCAGTTTTTGACCAACTGAAAATTTTATTATATCCTTATTTTAGAGAGAGATTTTAAATACTGTATTAAGTTCTAGATTGAGTTGTTTTTTTGGGAGAGGGAGGGAAGGGGTCAGGATTTTATTTCTTCTAACTTTTATTATTGCTACTGAGAACTCAACTGTCAATTCAGTTGTTATTTTCTTGTCAGTGATCTGGGTTCTTTGTCTACTCTTCAGATATATCTCTGTCTCTATTTCTATCTCTATGTTTCTATCTGTCTTTATGTATATAAACATATATATATGTATATGTATACTTAATAAGTAATAGCTGAGAATTTCTCAGAATTTATGATAGATATAAAGCCCCACATTATGGAAGTATAACAAATCTAAATCAAAATAAATAGATGTTAAGTATACTCCCATACCCACATTTGTGAAATTGCAGAATCTCATAATGCTTTATAGTATACTATGTAGTATACTAATATATATATTGCAGTATTATAATAGTGTTTAGGTTCTGCAGTTTCATAAACATGGATATAGGAGAAATTGTCAGCTATTCTCTTATGATTAAATATATGTCTGACCTCCTCACTTTATACCTTATGTCTGTTTATTACTCCTCAATAAGTCCTTTTTTCATCTGTGTTTCATTCAGGTGTGTCTTCCAGTTCACTAATTCTTTCTTCAGCTTAGTCTAATTTGTTGCTCAAACTGTTTACTGAGTTTTTAGAATCCTATGTTATCTGGGAGTCTTTGATCTATGTGACTTTTCAACATGTACAGACCTTCCACAATATTTACTCAACATTAGGTACTCTGTAGCAGTAAGTTTACTTTGAGGATATTTTAATACTGTGAATGGAAGTTTCTATCCAAATTTGGTGAGATAAAATTTAATATGGGAAAATGGAAAGTCTTGTATAAAATTCTATAAGACAAGAGTTTTTGTTGATGTTGGTCTTAGTATGAATCAACAGTATGATGCAGTTACTTGGGTGGAGGGACTAGTAAAAATTAGTGTAATTTTAGGTTGCATTAATAGAAATATAGAATCTACCATAAGGGAGGTGGTAGTCCTACTGTTTTAATTGATCAGACCTCACTCATGTGTACCATACTCTAAAGAATACATTAAGAGCCATGGAAGTGTCTGGAGGAGAGGAGCTAGTGAAAAGTCAGGAAGTCATAGTAGCTGTCTGTACTTATTTGAAGGGCTGTCTGATGACTACAGTTTTTATTTATGTCCCATGTTACAAAATTGGGATCAATGGTGAATCCTATAGGGGAACATATTTGAATAGGGGTGGATGAAATAGTTGAAGGGGTCAAAAGCCACAAAATTTAAGTTATAAAGCAAGTTAGTCATAGGGATGTGAAATGCAGCATAGGAATTATAGTTAATAATGCTGTATTGCATATTTGAAAGTAGCTAGGACAGTGGGTTTTGAAAGTTAGCATCATGAGAAAAAATTTATAACTATATGGTAGTAGATATTAACTGGATTTATTGTGATAATTTTGCAATATATACAAATACCAAATCATTATGTTGTATACCTGAAACTAATGTTAATGCAGTTTTACCTTAATTGTAAAATGTCCTCCTCCCCCCACAAATGTCTGAGTGCCTGATACATATCAGTTACTGTTTCAGGAGGCATACCGAGAAGTAAATATGCAACAAATATAATTACTGTGTGGTACATGCAATGATAGGGTAAATGCAGAATGAAAGAGGAACACATTTGGACAATTCTGAGAAATTTTTTAGTGTGGATAAGGTCTGAACAAAGGCAAAAGGATGAATAGAAGTTACTAGAAGAAGAGGAAGGGGAGGATTTTGGCCTGAGGCCTTTAAGCCAAAAACGTAGGTCATTGCTTAGGCCTGAGAAGAGAGAATTTAAAACGCATTCCTTAGTCTGCATGTAAGAGTTTAGCACGGCTGGATAGGAGAGTGCAAGGTGGGAGAAAGGAAGATGCAACTGGAAGAGGGAGGTACTACAAGTTGTGAAGGGTAAAGAGGAAAATAACTTTCCAACTGTCAGAGCTTTTTTGGAAATATAATGGTTTGTCTTTGAAAGTCAAGACTCTTTCTCATCAGAGCCCTTTAAACTGAGGATGAGCTGCCATTTGTCAGGGATATTTAGAGAGAATTCAAGCATCAGGAGGGATGATGCGGTCTTTGAGGTTCTTTCCTATTTTGAGATTTTGAAGGTCTCTCATTATACAATCCACTAGGGATGCAAAGTGATTCTGTGAAAAAAGCCCCTATATTCTCTTACTAACTATGTGATTGGCTTGCTGTGAGTCCTTTGACTAGCTATTCTTCAATTCTAAGCCCTGGTTTTCTTGTATATCAAAATGGAAGGACTTGGATTGGATTAGCTCAATTGTATCTTGCGTTAGCAGTTAAACCTGTAGTGTTCTACTAGTGATATTGTTTCCCTCATTCCTTCTATATTCATTAATTGGAATTGTTCTGTAAGATACTATTATTACTTTTCCCATTTATTAAATCATTTATTTGTATCAATATGGCCTAATAAATATTTATTTTATTTGTGAATTATAATCTAATATTTATTTTGTTGCTCAAATTGTTTCAGCTTTGGCCACTGGAAGACCTGGATTTTAATGTTACAGAGTACAAAAAGTTTGTTGAGATTATTTCAACTAAGCTTTGAGAAATTACCATTTGATGAATTTGGTGTAGTATCCAAAAAGAATATCCACAATACCTAACACAGCTATTAATATAGTCTGCCCTTCCCTACCTACTACAGTATCTGTGTGGCTTTTTTTCATGTACTTCAACTAAGACAACATATTGAACCAGTTGAATGCAGAAGCAGATATGACAATCAGCTGTCTTCTATTAAGCCAGACTTTAAAGAATTTATAAGAGTATCATCAATTGTTCTCATTTTTTAATTTTTCAAAATGTGTAGTATTTGCACATGTAATGAATAACATAATTTTACATGTAATGAATCTATCATTTTAAAATGAATTAATAAGTGTTTAAAAAATTTCCCTCTTAATTTATTGTTTGGTAAATATCTGTATATAGAACCTACAGAAACAAACTTCTTTGGGTTCCTCAGTGATGGTTAAGAGTTCGAGAACTACCCTTCTAGGCTATTTTTAGATGATAATTTATCACAGTCAGCTCTTTTTTTACTCACTATGGTCAACTTTGGTGGTTATCTGCAGAAAATTTTCTTTTTCTCTGAACTAATCTTCATTCCAAGGAATGTGCAAACACACAGTAATTTTAATATTAACCTATGTCTTAAAGTCCACCCAGTTTAGTCTGAAGTCAAATACTATATAAAAGGTCATCATTAGAAGTTTTCCAAATTTGCCATAGTGTCTGGTATATACCAGTCAATAAATATTTGTTGATAGAATGAGTAAGCATTGACATTTATTATTCTTTCTCTAAAAATCCAGATTAGCAATGAAATTGAGAATGTGATAGAAGAATCCACAAAACCAGCAGCTGAGCAGATTGCAGAATTCAGTATCTACCTTTTGGGAAAGCAGTACAGGAAAGAACTACAGGATCCCTCCAGCTTCTACCACCAGCGCCTTGTGGAAGAGTTTATTTCAGAGGTGGTGATTTTCTTGTTCATTTTTATTTTTTATTTTTTTGATAAATAAGACAGTTTGCTGGGGTTGTAAATTTCCTATATTCACAACTCTGGTTAAAGGTAAGTTTAGGATTCAAGCTCTCCTTATACTTGGTTCAGAGGGTATGACTTACCCATTTCTTCAGAAAGCTTTGTGAAAAGTACACTGTAATACAGATGAGTTATTTCATTGAAACAAAATCTTAGTACACATTTGCCATCTGTTAATAAATAAGTAAATGTTCTATTTCCAACTTCCTCTGCACAGCCAAGGAAGAATGTGTTCCATGGCATGATTTTAACTTGACAATATTTGAAGAAATGAATATCTTTGAGAAACTACATACAGTGTATTGTTTTTCATATGGGAACATTAAATTTAGTTCCTTTTAATTTAATGTTTAGTTTTCTTTTTTTTTAATTTTTTAAACTTAAAGTATCATTGACATACAGCCTTAGGAAGGACTTCATATGAGCAACATTGTGGTTACTACAATCCCCCTATTGTCAAGTCTCCACCAAATACCCCATTATAGTCACTGTCCATCAGCATGGTAAGATGCTATAGAGTCACTACTTCTCTGTGCTATACTGGCTTCCCCTTGTCCCCCACTGTATTATGTGTGCTAATCATAATACCCTTTAATCCCCTTTTCCCTACCTTCCCACCCACCTTCTGTACCCCATGTCCCTTTGGTAACCGCTAGTCCCTTCTTGGGTTCTTCAAGTCTGCTAAGTCTGCTGCTGTTTTGTTCCTTCAGTTTTTGCTCTGTTCTTATACTCCACAAATGAGGGAAATCATTTGGTACTTGTCTTTCTCCACCGGCTTATTTCACTGAGCATAATACCCTCTGCCTCTATCCAGGTTGTTGCAAATGGTAGGATTTGTTTTCTTCTTATGGCTGAATAATATTCAATTGTATTTATGTACAACATCTTCTTTATTCATTCATCTACTGATATCTACTGATAGGCAGTTAGGTTGCTTCCATGTCTTGGCTATTGTAAATAGTGCTGTGATAAACATAGGGGTGCATATGTCTTTTTGAATCTGAGAAGTTGTATCCTTTCAGTAAATTCCTACAAGTGGGATTCCTGGGTAAAATGGTATTTCCATTTTTAGTTTTTTGAGGAACCTCTGTACTGCTTTCCACAATGGTTGAACTAATTTACATTCCCACAAATAGGGTAGGAGGGTTCCCCTTTCTCTGCATCCTCGCCAGCATTTGTTGTTGCTTGTCTTTTGGATGTTGGCCATCCTAACTGGTATGAGGTGGTATCTCATTGTGGTTTTAATTCACATTTCTTTGATGATTAGCAATGTGGAGCATCTTTTCATATGCCTGTTGGTCATCTGAATTTCTTCTTTGGAGAAGTGTCTGCTCAGATCCTCTGTTCATTTTTTAATTGGGTTATTCGCTTTTTGGGTGTTGAGGCCTGTGAGCTCTTTGTATATTTTGGGTGTTAACCCCTTATTGGATATGTCATTTATGAATGTATTCTCCATACTGTAGAATGTCTTTTGTTCTACTAATGGTGTTCTTTGCTGTACAAAAGCTTTTTAGTCTGATGTAGTCCCATTTGTTCATTTATGCTTTTGTTTCCCTTGCCCAAGTAGATGTGTTCATGAATAAATTGCTCATGTTTATATTCAAGAAATTTTTGCCTATGTTTTCTTCTAAGACTTTTGTGGTTTCATGACTTACAGTCAGGTCTTTGATCCATTTCAAGTTTACTTTTATGTATGGAGTTAGACAATAATCCAGTTTCATTCTCTTGCATGTACCTGTCCAGTTTTGCCAACACCAGTTATTGAAGAGGCTGTCATTTCTCCATTGTATATCCATGGCCCCTTTATCATATTTAATTGGCCATATATGTGTGGGTTTGTATCTGGGCTCTCTTTTCTGTTCCATTGATCTATAGGTCTGTTCTTGTGCCAGTACCAAATTGTCTTGATTACTGTGGTTTTGTAGTAGAGCTTGAAGTTGGGGAGCAAAATCCACCCCCACTTTATTCTTCCTTCTAAGTATTGTTTTGGCTATTTGAGATCTTTTGTATTGCCATATGAATTTTAGAACTATTTGCTCTAGTTTGTTGAAGAATGCTGTTGGTATTTTGATAGGATTGCATTGAATCTGTAGATTGCTTTAGGCAGGTTGGACATTTTCACAATATTCATTCTTCCTACCCATGAGCATGGGATGTATTTCCATTTTTTAGTGTCTTCTTTAATTTCTCTCAAGAGTGTCTTGTACTTTTCAGGGTATAGGTCTTTCATTTCCTTCATTAGGTTTATTCCTAGGTATTTTATTCATTTTGATGCAATTGTAAATGGAATTGTTTTATTGATTTCTCTTTCTGCTAGTTCATCATTAGTATATAGGAATGTTACAGATTTCTGTGTACTAAATTTGTATCCTGCAACTTTGCTGAATTTAGATATTAGTTCTAGTAGTTTTGGAGTGTATTCTTTAAGGTTTTTTATGTACAATATCATGTCATCTGCAAATAGTGACAGTTTGACTTCTTCCTTGATAATATGGATGCCTTTTATTTCTTTTTGTTGTCTGATTGCTGTGGCTAAGACCTCCAGTACTATGTTGAATAAAAGTGGGGAGAGTGGGCATCCTTGTCTTGTTCCTGATCTTAGGAAAAGCTTTCCGCTTTTCACTGTGAAGTTTGATATTGGCTGTGGGTTTGTCCTTTATTACCTTTATTATGTACCTTTATTATATGTACCTTTATTATGTTGAGGTGCTTGCCCTCTATACCCATTTTGTTGAGAGTTTTTATCATGAATGGATGTTGAGTTTTGTCAAATGCTTTTTCAGCATCTATGGAGATGATCATGTGGTTTTTGTCCTTCTTTTTATTTATGTGGTGGAAATGTTGATGGATTTTTGAATATTGTACCATCCTTGCATCCCTGGAATAAATCCCATTTGATTATGTTGTATGATCTTTTTGATGTATTTTTGAATTCATTTTGCTATTATTTTGTTAAGTACTTTTGCATCTCTGTTCATCAGGGGTATTGGAGTATAATTTTCTTTTTTTGTGGTGTCTTTGCCAGGTTTTGGTATTCTAATGATTGTGGCTACATAAAATCAGTTTGGAAGTATTCCCTCTTCTTCTACTTGTTGGAAAACTTTAAGGAGAATGGGTATTACGTCTTCTCTAAATGTCTGATAAAATTCTGCTGTGAAGCCATCTTCTCTGGGGGTTTTCTTCTTGGATAGGTTTTTTATTACTGATTCAATTTCATTGCTGGTAATTGATCTGTTCAGATTTTCTGTTTTTTCCTATGTCTATTTGGATGGTTTTATTTTTCTAGAAAGTTGTCCTTTTCTTCTAAATTATCCAATTTGTTAGCATATAATTTTTCATAGTATTCTCTAATAATTCTTTGTATTTCAATGGTGTCTAGTGATTTTTCCTTTCTCATTTCTAATTCTTTTTATGTGTGTAGACTCTTTTTTTATTGATAAGTCTGGCTAGGGGTTTATCTATTTTGTTTATTTTATCAAAGAACCAGCTCTTGGTTTCATTAATTCTTTCTATTGTTTTATTCTTCTCAATTTTATTTATTTCTTCTCTGATCTTTATTATGTGCCTCCTTCTACTGACTTTGGACCTCATTTGTTCTTCTTTTTCCAGTGTCATTACTTGTGAATTTAGGCTGTTCATTTGGTATTGTTCTTCCTTCTTTAAGACAGGCCTGAATTGCTATATACTTCTCTCTTAGAACTGCCTTCGCTGTGTCCCACAGAAGTTGAGGCATTGAGCTGTTGTTTTCATTTGTCTCCATATATTGCTTGATCTCTGTTTTAATTTGGTCATTGATCCATTGATTATTTAGGTGCATGTTGCTAAGCCTCAATGTTTTTGTGTGCCTTTTTGTTTTCTTTACATAATTCCTTTCCAGTTTCATACCTTTGTGGTCTGAGAAGTTGGTTGGTAGAATTTCAATCTTTTTGAATTTACTGAGGCTCTTTTTTGTGGCCTAATATGTGATCTATTTTGGAAAGTGTTCTGTATGCACTTGAGAAGAATGTGTATCCTGTTGCTTTTGGGTGAAATGTTCTATAGATGTATGTTAAGTCTATCTGTTCTAATGTGTTGTTCAGTGCCTCTCTCTACTCACTTATTTTCTGTCTGGTTGATCTGTGCTTTGGAGTGAGTGGTGTGTTGAAGTCTCCTAAAATGAATGCATTGCATTCTATTTCCCCCTTTAATTCTGTTAGTTTTGGTTGTACATATTTGGGCACTCCCATGTTGGGTGCATAGATATTTATAATGGTTATATCCTCTTCTTGGACTGGCCCCTTTGTTGCTATGTAATGTCCTTCTTTGTCTCTTGTCACTTTCTTTGTTTTGAAGTCTATTTTATCTGATACAAGTACTGCAACTCCTTTTTTCTCCCTATTATTTTCATGAAATATCTTTTTCCATCCCTTCACTTTTAGTCTGTGTATGTCTTTGGGTTTGAAGTGAGTCTCCTGTAGGCAGCATATAGATGGATCTTGCTCTTTTATCCATTCTGTAATGCTATGTCTTTTAATTGGTGCATTCAGACCATTTACATTTACATTTAGTACATTACAAGGGATATGTACTTAGTGCCATTGCAAGCTTTGGATTCATGGTTACCCATGGTTCAAGGGCAGCTTCTTCACTATCTAACAGTCTAACTTAACTAGCTTATTATGCTATTATAAATACAATCTGAAGATCCTTTTTTTTCTACCTTCTTTTTCTTTCTCCCCCACTCTTTATATGTTAGGTGTCATATTCTGTACTTTTTATCTATCCCTTGACTGACTTTGTGGGTAGCCAATTTAATTTTGTATTTCAGTAGTAATTAATTGGTCTGCTTGCTTTAGTGTGGTTTTATTTTCTCTGGTGACAGCTATTTATTTCGCCTTAGGAGCACTTCCATCTGGTGAAGTCTCTTTAAAATACACTGTAGAGATGGTTTGT